ATCGCAACGGTGCAAACGGATTTCAATTCGGAGAAAGTTGGACCAAAAAGTGTTCCCCGACTAGGACCAAATTAGTCTCAATCAGGGACTTACGTTTAAAATCTGGAGGAACCGCAGCCCCCTCCACTGAGACGCCGAAACAGGAACGGATACATCATCACCTTGGCCTCTTCCTCCATTCTTTTACTATATAAGAAACCCAACTTCAGCATTTCTTCACCATTCTTCATCAAATTCATTCTGAGAGATAGCCTTGAGTGTGGAGAACGCAGTGGTGCTTTCAATTTGGTGTGAGGTCGCCAGAGTTAAGAGTTATTGTCGCCGGAAGTTTCGCCGGAAAATCTTCAAAACCTCCATTACGCTTCGAGGTAAGCCCGTAGATATATCTAGTGACTAGAATGTTCATATAGAGCGTTTCGACGTTCATAAACGGTCGTTTGGTTGAGTTTTGTGTTTGACATGCTTGAAGAACCAAGAATCATAAACCATGAAATTGATGTTAAAAGTATGAATTAATGATGCCAAAATGATCTATGAACCTTGGAGAACATCTCTACATAGTTTCGTTGAAGTTCGATAACTAAAAACCGTATTTCCGAAATTGGACCGGAACGAAGAAGAAGATGAACAGTGGCTGAAAAACCACTGTCTGGATCGATCCAGGGGCTTGGATCGATCCCCTGGGAGTGATTTTTCATAGTATGGATCGATCCAGAGGGCTGGATCGATCCCCCAAAGTTTTGATCCGAAAATTTGCCCAAAATTGCTATTTCTGAGCTCTAAAATCCTATTTTTGATACCAATTGATTATGATTATTTTAAGGATGATTCTTTACAATAAAAATGATGTTTTTTTAACAAATAAAAATGTTATGTGATGCATGACGGTAAGTTCAGGTGTTAACACTTGAAACTAGACCGCTAATTGTTATTGTTTTAAATGTTATGTTGATTGATGATTATGATTAATGAACCTACTGATTAAAAATGAATATGTTGATGATTATGGTAATGATTATTAGTTGGTGATTATGATGATTAAATCTTGATAAATGTTTTGATTTAAAATGGTAATTATGAATGATTAAATCATAATGAATATATTGATGATTGTGAAAATAATATGTATTGTCAAGGGTATCTAGAAGACCTTTAAGATATACCCATATTAATATTGATTTGAAAGGTATCTAGAAGAACTCTAAGATATATCCATATTAATGTTGATTTGAAAGGTATCTAGAAAAACTCTAAGATATACCTATATAAGTTAGGCTTTGCGGGTATGAATCCCGGTGGCTAGGGTTAAAACGTACGTACGGGATCCAAGAACCAAACTTGAGTACCTACTCGTTTGGGGATACCACCCACCCAACAGTGAACACTACGCTGTCGGTTTTTGGTTGGCCTAAAGTGAAGGTAAGTTTAAGATTTTCAAAACCCTTTTATCTTAAACTAGGCCTAGCTTAAGGATTATTTAGGAATATTTTATACTTGAATATAGTTTAATTATTTAAACTATAATTCGTGTAAGGGTTGACAAATATTAAAGTGATTGACCTTAGACTAAGAATAGTTTAAGGATATTGTTGAATGTTGAATATTGAATATTGAATATGAATAAATATTGAATGGTGAATATTGAATTGAATATTGCAATTATTATGAATGACTGATGAACATTGAATGTGAATATAAATGTTGAATAATGAATAATTTTTAATAATTATTGATTATCTGAACTGAATATTATGTGCATGATATCAAATGATTTGATTATGAATTTAGATTCAGTTTATANTAGTTTAAGGATATTGTTGAATGTTGAATATTGAATATTGAATATGAATAAATATTGAATGGTGAATATTGAATTGAATATTGCAATTATTATGAATGACTGATGAACATTGAATGTGAATATAAATGTTGAATAATGAATAATTTTTAATAATTATTGATTATCTGAACTGAATATTATGTGCATGATATCAAATGATTTGATTATGAATTTAGATTCAGTTTATATGGATGTTCGATGCATTAGATATGCTTACTCAGCTTCAACGCTAAGTGTGTAGTATGTTTTATTTGCTATACGCAGGTTATTAGAAAGAATGATGTGACGTGATCCTGGAGGCGGACGGAGGCGAGACTGTCGGAATGGATGTGATGTTTTGAATTAAAGAACATAAATCAATTATGTTTGTAATTATGATTTGTTAAGCTTCCGCAATATTGAAAACTCCGTACTGTTTATGATATGGAAATATTATTGTGATAAATAAAAGTGTTTGAAATGTTTTAAATTTTATGATTACCAAGTTAATACTTTAGTCCGAAAGGGGCTGCAGACTTGGACGGATTAGGGTGTTACAGTTCCTACCCCCTAACCCCTTGGTAAACCCCCCACTCCCAGACCGGTCCTAACATACCCCGCACTCCCGTCAATTGCATGCCACAACATTTAGTTGACTTTAGAGTCAGACTTTGACTCCAAAGTAAACTAAATCTTGTGGCATGCAGTTGACGGGGGTGCGGGGGTATAATCGAGCCACAGCGGGGGTGGGAGTTTATCAGGAAGACTATGAGGGTAGGAACAATCAATTTTTTGAACGGAGCGTCGTAGATGCCCTAAACGGGACCCATGTTATAGGATGACATGAGAGGTACATGTCACCCGAACCGCCCCTATTATTATTTGAGTGTTATTGTTGTTATACGTATTATTATAATTGAAATTATCTCAAATAATCTCACCTTTTCGTGTTCTTTCAAAAATAATCTCACTTTTCACTCTAACCGAAAATAATTCCACCTTTCCTCATGTGTGCGTGTTTTGGTCGCTGTTAAAAAACTAACGGTCATTTAACGGAATTTTTTAAAAATACCTATTTTTCTCAAATAAATGAAAGGTGAGATTATTTTAGGTAAAATCTCCCTTTTTCGTTTTTTAATTTTTAACTTTAAATTTAAATGTATTTTTAATTTTTTTTGGAAAAATAATACCAAATTTAAGTGTTTTTAGAGTAAAACTAATTGTTTTTTCAATAATCGATAATCTGGTAATAATTAGAAAATAAATTATTCTACACAATAGAGCTAATTTATTTACTTCATAAACTACATTTTTTGTAAGTTGCTTTTATTTTTCTTCAGCTGCACTTCAAATTGTTTTTTGATACTATATTATTATTATTTCTTAAAAAATGGCACTACAAAACTTATGAATATTTTTCGATAGTTCAATGTAAATATTTTTTATGAAATAAACAACATTACAATAGTTGTGAAAATAACACGACAATTTTTTCTTTGAAATGTTATTTTTATAACCCACTACATTTTCTGTTGAATTGCAATTTTTTCATTAACACTCCGATATATTTATTGATAATATTTTATTTCCTATATTATTTTTTCTAAAACGGAACTACCCAATTTGTGATTTTTTTTATAAATCAAAACAAAATTTTCCCCAAAATCTATAGTAATTCTAAAGTTGTGAAAATGGCACAATATGTTTTTCTCCGAAATGGCACTAATAAATATTAAAAATCACTACAATGTTTTGGTATTGCAATTTATTTCTTGATGGATACTCTGAATTATTTTTGATAATTCAATATTATATTTTCCCAAAATAGAAAACAAAATTTGTTAATCGTTAGTCTAACAAGAGTGTATTGTTATATTTTTAAAAATATTAATTTTAAAATTAAAAAATTAAAAAGTAAATTTGTCTAAAATAATCATACCTTTCATTCATTTTTGAAAAACAGGCATTTTCTAAAACTTCTGTTAAGTGGTTGTTAGTTTTTTAACGGCGACTCAAAACTCGCACACAAGCGGAAAGGTGAGATTATTTTCGGTGATAGTGAAAAGTGAGATTTTTTTAAAAGAACGCGAAAATGTGGGATTATTTGAGATAATTTTTCCTTATTATAACTATCTTCCACATTATTTACTCTCATTTTTTATTATTTTTATTACGGTGATCATTCTTGTAATTACCCCGGATTATTAATAAACTCATACAATATACTATAATAAAGCAAATTAAATAACTTTTATGCAAGATTGTGAGTCTTATGAAACACAAACATTAAAGACTAATTATTATTATTGTTATTACGGAGTTTTTAGTTATTATCGTTAAGTATTATTATTCATATAGAAATAGTAGTGTTTATTATTATTACTCCCTCTGTCCCAAAAAGTCTTTCCTGTTTCATTTTTTGCGCATATCAAAAAACATTTCTATCCCGCCTTGAATGCCAAAAAAACTTTCAAAATAAATTTTACCCACAATAAAGAAGAAATTTTGTAAATTTTAGGCATTTTAGATGTCGGTAGAAATGTTTTATGTGATGCGCAAAAAATGAAACAGGAAACACTTTTTGGGACGGAGGGAGGAGTATAACATACACTATGGCCTTGTTTGGAACATGACAGTTGGCAGTTGGCTCTTGGCTGTTTATGTTGGCTGGTTTGAATGACTGGTTGAGTTAGCTGTTTTGATCGGCTGTTTCTGTTAGCTGTTAAAAATTAGATGTTTGGCAACTTTAGCTATTTATAGTTAGCTGTTTGTGAGTAAAATTACATATAAGAACATCCCTCCATTTATGTTCATGTGTGTATGATTTTAATTTTTTTTAATTTGATAAAATACACACATTATACAAGAAAATGCTTTACATATATTTTTTTGTTGGACAAAAAAGGCTACTTCTTTTTTTAAAAAAATTTAAGAAATTAGAATTTACATTTATATTTTATAAGTAGATTTTTTTGTATTTTTCTCATTTATCATTCTACAAATAACAACCATCTATGATATATTTTATTTTATAATTTTTTAAATATGATATCTATTAGGAAGTATAATTAAATTAGGATACTTCTTTCCTTTCCTACTAGGATTATTCTTTCATTTCCTACTTGTACTTTGATTACTCTTGTATTCCATATATAGGGCGATATCTCTCAATATTCAATAAGATAAGTTATTATCAAATTGTATCATGGTATCGGAGCTAAGGCTCTCAAAAACCTAGCCTCTCTTTTTTTCCGACCACCATGGCAGCCCCGTCGGATCCTTTGGCGTCCTTACCCTCCGGAATAAAACTTTTGCTTCGGAGTCTCCACAACTTAATCCCAGAAAAACTCACCGAAACAAATTATCCGGCATGGTCTCTCAATGTCCAGACAGCTCTTTCAGCTAATCTCCTCCTTGGATGGATTGATGGTCATGAAGCAGCCTCGGAGCCAACTATCTCCAAAAACGATAAAACCGTCCCTAATCCAGAGTATACCTCCTGGACCATCGTTGACACACAGATCTGCGCCTGCCTCCTAGCGGTCATCAGCCCCACCGTTCACAAACATGCTCGCGGCTTCACCACATCTGCTGCCCTCTGGGATGCTTTGGCCGCACGGTACAACTCCGTGTCCACCGCTCATGTTTATCAGCTTCGGGACAAACTCCACACTCTTCGTAAAGGTACCAAAACTATGACACAATACCTTGATGATGTGGCAACTATTCTCTCGGATCTCGATGCCTTGAAAGAAGAGATCCCTGAACGTGATGTGGTGAATGCTGTTATTCGTGGTCTTCCCACCAAATCTCCCTTCTCTCANCCGTTCACAAACATGCTCGCGGCTTCACCACATCTGCTGCCCTCTGGGATGCTTTGGCCGCACGGTACAACTCCGTGTCCACCGCTCATGTTTATCAGCTTCGGGACAAACTCCACACTCTTCGTAAAGGTACCAAAACTATGACACAATACCTTGATGATGTGGCAACTATTCTCTCGGATCTCGATGCCTTGAAAGAAGAGATCCCTGAACGTGATGTGGTGAATGCTGTTATTCGTGGTCTTCCCACCAAATCTCCCTTCTCTCACAACCAATCAATGGAATGCACTCATGGGACTCTTAAACGAGAAAGATTCGGGTATGGAAAGTAAATTTTCAGGTATGACTAACACTTCTTGGATCATTGATAGTGGAGCAAGTCAACATATGACCGGTGATAAGAAGTGTCTTGAAAATTTGGAAGCAATAAAACCTTGCTCAGTTGGTCTACCGAATGGAGATTGTGCGATAGCCAACCAAAAGGGGAGTGTGATTGTGGATAATTTGATCACCTTAGAAAATGTTTTGCTAGTTCCTCAACTCAACTGCAATCTTATATTTGTCTCACAACTTCTTTAGAAAAAGAATTTAATTGTCAAGTTTAATAATAAAATTTGTATCAATATCATAAATATATAAAAATACTCTACACCAATTTTAAATTAAAAAATTAAATAAATTACTCGAGACAAGCATCACAACCTGAAGTATCAAACATTTTTTGAGACGACATGAGCATTATTGGAAGTGACAAAAAATCAGACATGCTTTCGACTAGTCAGGAAATTGCAGAGAGAAAGTCAGGAAAACTTCCGGTGCCGTGAGGATCGCAGAGAGACGCAGCACCGAAAAAAGGGTAAGAAACGGAAAAGGGGGTGAACTGCTAAATGAAATGCTACTAGGGTTGGCATTTCAATTTTTGGCTTTTTGGTTCTAAATGCCAATTTCAAAAGCCATTATCCAAACAATTAATTTGGCGGTTTGACTAGTCCAATCCGCCGTTTATGGTCAAAGATGCCAAATGCTGGGTGAACCGCTATTTACCAAACATGGCCTATATACTTTTCAATACTTCTCTCGTGTCATCTAATATGATTGGATCATATCCGATTAAAATTGATTTGATATGCATAAATCTAATGTGATTTGATATGAATGAATCTCATCAGATCTGATCTGATTTCAATAAGAATAGAATAATGCTAGATTCACAAACAAAATAATCACAAAATTCATAAATTTACTATTTGTGAAGTTCAATTAAAAAAATTAAATAGTCTAAAGTAATCTTGAAATGAAAATTTAAACTATAAATAGTAAATTTGTGACCATTCTGTTTGTGAACCTAGCATTGTTCTCCCTCCGCCCATTAGTATTTGTTCACTTATGACTTTTTCAATCAAGATTAGTAAATTTTGACTTCAAATTAAATGAAAATGATACTAAATATTGATATAAAAATAATATACAATATATATTTTATTTAGTTATAGGTCAAAAGTTAAAAAACAGTAAACTAAACAAATATTTTTAGACGAAGATAGTAATTTTTGAGTACTTGAAATAATTTGGGGAGTAATTTATTCCACAGTGTTCGACGGTAACTTGCAGCCAATAGAGGAGGCAGCCTTCGTGGTGGTGGCTTTGACCTGTCTGATGCCGGAAAAACTAATACTCCGTAAAATAAGATATGATACCCTTTTTTATAACTATTTTCCCCAATATAAAAAAGATATTCAAATGAAATAGTTTCTATGAGTTGAATTCTAGTTAAAAGATTATATTTTTTAAAGTTTTACCAAAAATATAGAATAAATCTTTTTAGAATATTTATTCTTTTTGTTTCTAATTATATTTGAAACAAAACACCTTCTAGCTTAGTTAGTGAACATCTTGACGTATACTCTTATCACGGCCAATCCTTCTCTGCCTCTTTTAAAGTGAGGGTTTTGAAATCATCCCCATGTGGCACAATAAGAAAGAAACATGTGGACATGATATTTCACCTCTTTTAAAAACTTAAGTTATTCTTGTTAATTCAATATTGGTCCCAATCTAAAATTAATTTATTTTTACACCATGAATTATTATTTTGTTAACAGCGGGTTAACGGAACGGCCTGTTTTGTTCAAAAAATGAAAGTTGGGATTGTTTTCAGTGAATTTTTGTTTTTTATTTAAAATATTATTCTTATCTTATACTCCCTCCGTCCCAAAAAGTTTGTTACGTTTAGAAAAAACTGCATCCCGTAAAGTCCGTTACATTTCTATTAAAAAACCTCTTTTACCCCTTATTTTTTCATACCCTACCTATCACATCATACTTTTTTTCGAATAATCTACCCATCACATCCTACTTTTACCCATCACATCAAGGATATTTTTGGAAAGTCAATACCAAAATATCTCTCCCTTAATTTTCCAACAAGTCAAATCGTCTCATTCTTTTTGGGACGGAGGGAGTAAAAAATAAGTATAAAATATAAAATATGAAAAATAAGTATAAAAATATTAAATATAAGATTTCAGTTATTGTTCTCATTTTTTTTATTTTTTATATCTATTTTTTTTATTTATATCCAAAGTTAGACTAATCTTTAAAAGAATACAACAAAATGAAAGTTGGGATTACTTTTAATGAATTTTTTTTATTATTTATTTAAATTTTTATTTAAGTTTTTAAAAAAACTTTCTACATAAATTTATTTTTCTTTTTTTTTAAATATTATTCTTATCTTTAAAAATATAAGTGTAAAATTTCAAATATAAAAAATAAGTATAAAAATATTAAATACTCGTATAAGATTTCAGTTATTTTTTTCATTTTTTTATTTTTTATATCTAGTTTTTTTATTTATATCCAAAGTTAGACTAATCTTTAAAAGAATACAAATGATAGAAATCAAACTAAAAATGAGAAGTAGACATATTTGGAACAAGAAAATGAGATTTCAGGACATAATGCTCGTACGTCTCACAAGAATGACATTTAATCAATGAAAAAATTGATAGAAGGAAATCAGAGAGAAATAAAGCAAGAGATTGAGCCGATCTAGGGTTATATTGGAAGGGCCGAACCCGTCGATGGTGCTAGATGGAGATAACGACTCTGAACGAAGGCGGTGGCGATGGAGACGGTGTTCTAGAAAATACGATGTTGGGTTGGATGGGGATGGAGACGCAAAACAATTAACGAAGATGACATCAACGTATGATGGCGAAGGGAAGAAAAATAAAATAATTTTGGATTGGGGCCAATATTAATTTAACAAGAATAATTTAAGTTTTTAAAAGAGGTGGAATATTGCGTCAACATGTCTCTTTCTCATTGCGCCACATGGGAAGGGTTTTAAAACCCTCAAATTTTATTGGATAATGCTATTTGTACCCCAAAATTTGCTCGTGTCGTTGGGTTGTATTCGCCGATCCTTACCGAACGTTATAACTTTTTTAATCAATCAACAAGTATTCAAATGTTCCACTTGGTTGGTATTAATTCTTTTGGCAAAATATAATCCCATATTTGTTAGGTGTTTTACTAGGTAGAAACCTCTATTTGTTAGGAGAGGTTTATGTTTCTAGAGTTGCTGCAGTTTTCGAGGTTGACACAGAAGATGCTACAGCACATTGTTGCAATACACTGTTCGGGATCAGAGGTCTGAGCACGAGATTTTAAGCTGCAATCTGAATTAGAGACCTATTGGGATTGTGATTACATGATAATAACTTCAGCTGTACATGCTAAGGAATCCCAACTCTTTAGGCTACTTGTGGATCAAGATTAAGTAAGTAGAGTTCAAGCCAACTTCTACTATCCTATTCCTACTAAGATTGTGTTAAGAGAGGCCTATAAAAACGCAACAGTTCCTTGGGAATTACTCGGAGCGATCGAGAGGGAAAACAAAGAATATACGCTGATGTAGAGCATTCCCGTCGCGTCCCGGAGCTTCCCATGCGTGAAGAAGGTCACGATCTACATGAAGGAGGAGATCTTCAACACCAAACAGATCGTGATGTCCAGAAGATGAACCCGAGCTTAAGGAGAGGGCTGCCAACACGTTTGTCCTCATGATCTCGGTGGAGATGTGATAGCCGAAGCGGATCAGAACAGAGTTCGGGTTAGAAATCCTAGATTAGAAGTTTTGTCATAGCAATTCAGAGAAAGGTGTCTCATCATGTTGTTATGTACCCGTGTAACTTGCATCTAGCGATTTAGTGGAGAGCTATTACACGGACGTGGGCCCCACAGATTAGGAGAATTTGCTCCGAACTGCGTAAACATATCTGGTGTTATTTTTTACGCTTTTTATAGTTACAGCATTCTGCCCAGTAGGCGCTGTAACGCTCTCTGCGTCATCTGCTTCTGTGTGCGTGCTTGTGACAGAGAAGTGTTATAGCACACTGTCCGTCATCACGTACTGTGACAGTGCTGCAGCGTCTTCTTTGGAGCATAGTGGATTGTTTGTTTGCATAACTCTTAATTGGTAATTTCCGCTGCGCCCCACGAACTTACAAAATATATTTTATTCCATATTATTTATGTGGATTCTCACTTCCAATTTTGGAACTATACCCACCAGGTTATTCTAGTTCCAAACAAGAACCCTATCCATCCATCTACTCAAGTTTAAAAGGAGGTAATGCTCGGGTTTGACTCCTTTCAACAATAATGACCATGTGCAACTTTTGATATTTGCATATACCAAAGACATATTAACTCTTTACTGATCAATTTATAATTAAAATTTATTTATAGATTATTATGTGACTTGATTTAAATTATGTTCTCTTCAACATATATTTTTACTCCTTCTGTTTCAAACTAAATTTTTTGTGAACTACTATGAAGTATTCATAGTCAAACTTTATTTATTTTCTTGTTATTTTTGTTGAGCAATGCTAAGTTTACAAACAAAATGCTTACAAACTTTACACATTTAGTATCTGTAGTTTAAATTCTCATTTTAAAATTATTTTAGACTATTTAATTTTTTTTAATGAGGTTCACAAATAGTAAGTTTGTGAAGTTTGTGACTATTGTGTTTGTGAACCAAACCTTTCCCTAACTAGAATGGATTTGTGTTGAGTAAAAGTATGAACAGATATTACACTGCAACAAAATTATAAGTATTAAAAAAATTACTACATCTTTTTCAATGAGTTTGTCTTTACAGTCAAACTAAACAAATTTTGAACCCCAATTAGATAAAATATGTACTCTCTTTGTCTCAATTTAATTTGTCTGTTTAATATTCACAGAGTCAAACTTTAGACACATTTTTTTTACCCATTTTTGCTACCCATTTGAAAAAAATAATATAGCCTTGTCACCTCTTATTTTCTAGAACTTTTGATGTAATTTTTAAATACATACAAATTTTTATTTTATGTTCCTTACCAATTTTTATATAATTTGAATTGAAAATAGCGTAAGTCAAACTTCGTAATTGATAATTGAAATTCATCTATTTGAGTCGAGGGTCTCTAAGAAACAACATCTCTACTCTTGAATAAGGGCGAAGTCTGCGTACATGCCCTCTTAAAACCCTACTCTTGTAGGGTACAACTCGTTGTTGTTGTTGATAAATAAAGTTTGCCGAGTCTGAGACAGAAGGAGTATTTTAGAAAGAATTCAGGTTAATGTCATTCCCCAATGAGTAATTCTTAGATAGGCCCAAAATCTACATTTAAAATATTGATCTTCTAACACTTTTCATGAACTTGTATATGCATACTTTCTTTTTTCGAAAAGTCTACTTTTTTATAATACAGTATGTTCCGTATAATAAGTATGAATCTTACATCTACAGAAGAACTTGCCTTCTCCAATACGATGTATGTAATTGTATTACTCTAAAAGATAATAAAAATACCAAATTAAGAGTACCACTCCTCTATTGACTCAAATAAGAATTTACACTAGAAAAATTTGTACTAAATATAATTAAAACATACTCCCTCCGTCCCTGAGTATTTGTTCAGTATTCCTTTTTGGGATGTCTCTCATTATTTGTCCACTTATTTGTTTGAGAGTTCCTGTACGTACACATAGGGGTGTTCATCGGTCTAAAACCGGATCAGACCAAACCGAATCGAACCGAAGATCGAAATATGCCAAAACTTAGACCGAAGACCAGACCTAAATAATCTTGGTTTTGGACTAGAGCGGACCAAAATCACATGGACCGAACCGGGAAGACCGAAAACACTGAATCCATGCTTATTACTTGGAAATCTAGAGAAGAAGATGATGGAGAAGGAGATTAGAGAAGGCTGTGCGGAGGAGTTAATCGTTCCTTCGCAGATTCGATTGAAGCCCTTCGAAACAAGAAGGAGATATGAAATCTGAAAACCGTCGCTCGTCAGCCGTCGCCCGTCGCCCATCATGAGCGGTTGGAAACGGAGGTGTAAGGATAAAGGGTTACTGACGAATTTGGATGGGTGTTTGGGAATTTCCGAATTGGACTTTGTAGAGTGGACTCGACTTCTTCACTCTTGGACAGCTGGACCAATTGAAAATTAAATGGTCTATTCGGTCCATTCGGTCCAAACCGATTGTGTATCGAGTTTAGGCCGGACCGGACCAAAACCCGAAATGTTAAATTTATAGGACCGAAGACCGACCCGAAATCAATTCGGTCCGGGTTTGGTCTGGACCTATCGGTCCGGTTCGGTCGGTTTTTTTGGTCTGGACCTAAACATGAACACCCCTACGTACACATGTATACTCTCTCTATCTCTCTCTTATTATTGATTCTATTCCTCTTCATCTCTATTCCCCTTTTCAATCTTCATCTCGATCTCATCTCTCGTTTCCTTTTCTTCATCTCTGATTCTCTCTCCTCCCTCATTTCTCATCTTCAATATCTGATTTCCTTTCGTCTTCAATCTCCGATTCTCCTTTCTCTGTCATCACTCATCTTGGATTCCCCTTCTTCAATCTCCGATTCCCCCTTTTCGTTGATATCTGGATTCACTTCATCTTCAATTTCCGATTCTCCTTCAATATTTAATCCCCTTTCCTCTCATCTTCTAAGTTAATCTTTGTTGACATATGGATGTTGGTCCTCTTCTACAACGAGCTGGAGCTACACGTCTTCTCTGATGCCTGCTAGTGATGGACGGCATCTAGATGTCTTCCATGGCCGGATTTCTTCAAACACGGAAAATCTTCTCAAGATTTAGATTTCGAACAACTAGATTTTTTAAAATTAGTTCTAAAATACTTTTCTCAATTTTTCTTTTTGTTTTTAATTTTAAAATTGATTTGGGTTGGCCGGTGGATGGTTGGAGTTGGACAGTGGAGATTGTTGGGGATAATTGGATGATGATGGATTGGGAGGCTAGGTGGTGTGGCTTTGGACGGTGAATCGGTGATTACCGTAAGAAGACATGAGGGCCCAACGACTTGCTAGTTGGACAAGGCCTAAGGGTATTTGTGTCTTTAGACACCTTGTATTGGTTATTGTGCCAAAGTGAAAGTGGACAAAAATTGGGGGACAGAGGGAGTAAGTCATTTCCTAATGTAAGACTTAAACTTTTTTACTACCTCCGTCCCATTGTCTTTGTCCAGTTTTGACTTTTGAAACTGTTCATCTAAGCACTTTGACTCATCAAATTCTCTCAATGTGTAAGCCTAAAAATAGTCATGTGTGATCTTGTTTGATTCGTCTTAACATATAGATTATTAATATATAATTTTTTAATATAGAATACCCCCAAATAGGAGTAAAACATAAGTCATATCCTCAAAATAGGAGTCTAAACTTAAACTCCTCTAAGTAGGAGTAATTAAATAAATTTTGTTATCTTGGCTGCACATACCACATCCCAACCCTTTTGCAATCGAAATTAACGCCCAACCTTCTTCCCGACATGTGCGCTCCATCTCCGATCTCCTTCTGCCATCGCCACTGCCACCGCCACCTACCCCATGCCATCTTTGTTGCGCCGCCATCGCCACCATCTTCAAAGATTCGCATCCAATTACAGTGTTCAACGCCAATTTGCCACCATCAAAGATTCGTCCATCCCCTTCCTCAACGATTCTAATTCTTTTAAGCTAAATTAGTTTTTGGATTTCAATTGTTTGCTTTTTTGAAAAATATTTTGGAAAATTGTTGGGAATTTGATTCTTCCAGCTGTGCTATTTTGATTGTTTACGCTGATTTTTGTTCCAGTTATTTTCAATTATTTAAATTTGAATTTTCACATTATACATAGATGTGTTTATCAGTATGCATTGCCATGTATGACATTATGCATTGTCACATGTAGCATTATATATTGTAATGTGTGACGTTATGCGGTGCCATGTTTGGTATTAGGTCTTTCTTTGACACTGTATTGACAGTTAATGTGGCACTATGGCGACCATGGTGCAGATTGTAATGGTTGTGTCATTGATAATGGTAGAGTGGTGATATCGTCGGTGGTGACGGTGAAAAATCAACAACGACAATGGTAGGTTTCAATATATAGCAGCGGCGCGGTGGGGGCAGAGTAGGCGGCGGCGGCGGAGATTCAAATGATGGTGGCAGGGATGCGGAGACGACGATGGCAGCAGTGGGCGTCGCCGTCTGCACCATTTTGGTGTGGAGTTAGCCTATTTTTTTTAGTACTGGAGGTGAGGATATGATGTATGGATAAGAGAAAATGAAAACAAAAGACCAGAGGAGTTAGCTCTGCTCTATATACACGAAAGTGAGGAGGTAGAAAAGATATTTTTGGCTTTAGGAAGGAGATTAGATTAATAGGTCAATTACTCCTATTTAGAGGAGTTTAAGTTTGAATTTCTACTTTGAGGAATTGAATATGTTTTACTCCTAGTTTGGTCCTTCTCCCTTTTTAATATACAAATTACAAGATAAAATGGATTAAAGAAGTGCATTGGATGGTGTGCCAAAAGGTAAGTGGACAAAGACAGTGGGACGGAGGGAGTATTTTCTAAATACTCCGTAGTACTTAATAATGTCTAGTGGGAGAAATAATGTTCAATGATGATGAATATTTACTTGAATAATAACTAATGGATAATGACCAATGTTCTTACATTGAAAAATGAAAACATATAATCCTATATTGGAAAAGTTATTATGTTTTAGTCGGTAAATTCCCTTAACACTACTCTTGCCATATTTTCAGATAACCAACTGCCACGCCTCATTGGAGCTTTGCTGCCCGTCATCGGAGTGCTGCCTAATTTTTGTGTAATAAAAGTGAAAAACATACTCTATCAAGAAATTACCTATTTTCTTTTTCACCATTTACAAAATTAAATTTAATCTATTTTTTTACTTATTTTTGTTAGTTACTCCCTCCGTCCTAAAACTAATTTCCCAGTTTGACTTTTGTATTCAAATTTTTTAAACTTTGACTGTTTATTACGGAAAAACACATTGAATTTTCATATAAATTAATTAGCATTAGATTCATTTTGAAACATAGTTTTGAAATATGTAATTTTTATAAAATATATTTATATAAAAATTGAGATATTGATGGTCAAAGTGTAGCATTGGAGATCGTGAAAAGTCAAATGGGAAGTTAATTTTAGGACGGAGGGACTATTTAATATGGAGTAAAAAATGTTTGATTTAATTTCTTGCGCTAACATAGTGATAGTTTAGAAATCTCACAATAGTCTTACTTTGACCAGTTTTGTCAATATGCTCCGGACATAAATATGCGATCAACTTGGGCAGGGGAGGCAATTAATTCATTAATTACGGAGTAATGAGGAAGATGATAGGATTGATGCTTCTTCTTCTCTCAACTCTGGCAGTCAATGCCGGAAGCTCCTCCCAGCCTCTGCCGCCACCTGCGGCGGATCTGCCGCCGTGTTACAGCCTGCCGCCGACTTTCTGTCCCTCATGTGGAGCCGGGATGGTCACAGAGCTTGGTGGCCTCAGAGCCTATGTCACCGGTCCTTCCGATTCCAAGAAGGCTATTCTTATGATCTCTGATATCTATGGTAACTAAGCTTACCAAAACTTCTTCTTCTTCTTTTTAATGGAATAGTAAAAACAAATTAAATAAAAGTGCTCTGTTTTTTTCTTTAATGCCGATGCTGCTTTTATTTTGGACGTTGTTCTGCAGGCGATGAACCGCCCGTTTTCAGGTACACTTTAAAATCATTATAATTTTTGAGATGTATCAAAAGTTAAATAGATTTAGGAGGGTGTATTAAATCTTGATTCTGTATGATTTTTTTAGATTTTAAGAGTGAGTAGGTATTGAATTGAGATTTTATAAAGTTCTTTAAAATCTGATAGTATTCAAATTAGACTTTGAAATGTCTATCAAAATCTAATGGTATTAAAAACTTCATGGATTTAGAAAGATTTTTCTTAAATGCAGATTTTGATGGATTTGATGCTATTTTTCTAAAGGAAACATTACAAACAAATCCTTTCTCCACTTTGGATACAAGCTTCGATCTAGTGGCCGAAAGCCATCCAATCCGATACACCAAAGTCTCGCCCATCCACGTACGTTCAATAGATCTGAGCCAGACTGCAACCATGTTATTCGCCGGAGTCATTGTTGTTGTGGCCGGGACGGTGGCACCGGCCTACTGTCGGGAATTAAGGGTGGCAATGGCATCGACCTAGGGTTTAGACTTCTTGGATGGTGGTGACGTCTCAGACCTGTCACGGAGAAGGGACGCCGGCGAACAGATCTGTAAAAATGAAGGGGGAGAAGGAGGGGGAAGAAGAAGATAGATAGATCGAACAGACAGGTCGAGAAGAAAGAAGGTGGGGAAGAGGAAAGGGGGAGGGAGGAAGAGGAGAGAAAAAGAAGGGCAAAAATAAAAAGGAATATAAATGACGCAGGAAAAAAAATAAGCAGATCTTCACTGGTGGAGAAAATGAAGAAAGAAGAAAAGGAGAAGAAAAAGAAGAAAGAAAAAATAAGAAAGAATGGAGAAGAAGAAAAATGGTACAGTCTCGGTGGAGAAATAGAGAAAAAAGATTTGTGCAAAAAATGAGAGAGAAAAAGGGAAAATGAAAAAAATTTATTGTAATTCATACGGAGTAGATGATAAATAATCATACAAATCCTATAAAAAAAATTTGGAAAATATATTAAAATCTATGTAACTCTGTGTGGATTTAAAACAATCTATACACTTCACATAATCCATAGATTCTAAACAATGTATCAAAATCTTTTAAAATCTGAATTGAATACACTACCTTAGATATATATTAAGTCCAGTCATAATAATAATAATACTCCGTAATAATTACTCCAGAGTTAATTCTGAATGGGGAGAGAAATTGTTTTACTAAGGGGGTGTATCTCTGCTGGTACTTAATGGCCGCTGATGAGTAGTTTTTAACTTAAGGGAAATGAATAATGTTTGAAACAGATACAAAAATGAAGTGTTAATAGAATGAAATTTTGGTTTTCAGAAGTGTTGCAGACAAAATATCAAGTGCTGGGTTCTTAGTGGTGGCGCCTGATTTCTTCCATGGTGACGCTGCTAACCCAAGCAACCCTAAATATGACAAAGCTACTTGGAAACTAAATCACCCTGCGGTTAGTTTTTTTTTTAAATACGAAAACTGCCTAAAATGCATTGTACAAATAGAGTTAGTTGAACATTTATACTCGATGCTTTTTTTTCCGATGTCGGTTCCCAAGGGCTGAGCATTATATTTGTATTGTGTATTATTGTAGGAAAAAGGATATGCAGATGCAAAACTTGTGATTTCTGCTTTGAAAGAAAAGGGCATATTTATGGTTGGGGTAGCAGGTTTTTGCTGGGGAGGTTGGTTGGTCAACTACTTCCTCAAATCATTAGTAACTGTTTTTGGACACAAGATTATCATTTGACACATTTGTACACTTAGAGACATACCTTAATTTGATTGTCTTGATGGATCAGGAAAGGTAGCAGTGAAAGTGGCAAATGACACAAAAGAAGTTCAGGCTGCAGTTCTGTTGCATCCTAGTGATGTCACGGAAGACGAGATGAAAGGTATATTGTACTATAAACGGTTGTCATTTGTGAAGCAAAGCTATGCTCACTCACTCATTCATCACAAGGACAAAGAGGATGAGAGATTGACTGTTTTTTTTTGTGGCGTGCAGCGGTTGAAGTGCCAATAGCAATTTTGGGAGCTGAACGCGACAAAGGTTTGCCACATGCCCAGATGCATCATTTTGATGAGATCTTGTCATCTAATAAGGTAATTCATGAATGAAATGCATTGCAAGTAAAAGATGCACGCATTACATATTTGATCGAATGATCATGTTAGTTAATTAATTAATTACACTACTTGATTGATGATGAACAGATTGAACACCGTGTGAAAACGTACCCGGGTGTTTGTCACGGATGGACCATTAGGTACTTCCACAACGACACTTTTGCTGTCAATAGCGCGGCAGAAGCACATGCAGACATGATCAACTGGTTTGAAAAACATGTCGCCCTCAAGTCCATGGAAGACGAAGCTTCAGAAAGCCCAACTTGTTCAATCTAATTACGGAGTAGTATTACTCAATTATACAGGAGTGGTACCAAATACCATGAGTTATTCATCAGAATCATTGTTGGTTGTGTTTTTACTTTGAAGAAGAGAAATAATTAATACTCCATACTTCGTAATTATAACTACTGTTTTTTTTCTTTTTTCAGTTTTATTATATTCTCATTCATGCCCCCTTGTAGGTTACGGAGTATAAAGATATACGTAATTAGTAAGCATGCTAGGAGTATACCAAAATCGGGTACCTTTTGTACACTAGACAAACACAGACTAAAATGATGTATCTCATTTTGGTGTACCTCTAGGTTTATTCAACGAAAAATCATTCCTTTCTTTTCTTTCCCCCCTCAATCCCTTACTATTCCCTGTTGACTTTTGGCTTTAATTTCTAATCCCACACCGGTGGTTTTGGTTTTGAGTGTCCCACACCATAAATGTTTGTTTAGAGAGGACGCTTAGGTATCTGTGTTTGCCTGGTATACAAATGAGGTATCCCATTTTTGTATACCCCTAAGTTTATTCTATAAATAAACCCTTCCTCTTCTTATGTTTTGTATCCCACAACCTGTAATCTTCTCCCACATTAATAAAAGCGGGCTGTTTGAGCGGTGCTTGGAGATTAGGCTAATTTGGCCAAACTCAGTTAACAAAGTCTCGGATGTGCTCTCTTTATCTCTTTTATTATTTTGCTCTATTTGTTATTGTTGTTGTTGTTGTGATGTTTTCTTTTCAGTTGTAGTCAATATTGTTTGTTGGATATCTTTGTTAGTGTTCTGTCCAGTTCATTTATTCTAAGCTGGTTCATTTTACTATTTGTGTTGTCTTAGTGGGAGAATTATCCGATTTTCCCAACAAGTGGTATCAGAGCCGAAGGTTCGTCTTTGGTTATCTAAAATTTGTTCAGGTAGTACTTATCATACATGTCCCATTCGGGAATGGTTCTTTGAGTTTTAGAAACTTGATGGTGGGGTTGTTTACACGGGTAATGGGTAATGGTAATCCATATAAGATAGCCAGCATAGGTTCAATCAAGCTGTGCAATCATGATGGATCCACTAGAATGTTGCGAGATGTGCGGTACGTGCCAAAGTTGAAGAAGAATCTCATCTCTTTGGGGGCTTTAGAATCTAAAGGCCTAGTTGTGACAATGCGAGATGGAGCTCTTAAAGCAACTTCAGGAGCACTGGTGATGTTGAAAGGCGTGAGGAAGAACAATCTGTATTACTACCAATGTAATGCCCTAATCCGTCGAGGTCTGCAGCCAATACCTCGAAGCTCCTCTTCAAGGATTTCCGAATCCACTAAGTCCCGGTCTCTTGAACTCCGACAAAGTACTGCACTAGTTTGGCAAACAACCCTTGCCAATAGGATTCACTCCGAGATTTCACAATGACTATCTCGAACTGTTTACAAAGAAGATTTAACGACTATTTTCTACCGTTCCCCCAAGGATTTCAAAGGCTATCCTTGAACCTTCACCCAAGGATTTTTACAGCTATCCTCGAGCATAAAAACGTGAGAATTTAACAACTATTCTCGATTGTTAAATTAATTTTATATCCTCATAGACAAGGCAAAAACTAATTTCTAATTATTAATTAGTTTAACCTTTGACATAATTAGTTAATTTAACAATAAAAATAATTTTAGAACAATTATTCCAACTATTAAATAAACATACAGAGTATATGCCCAAATTTAGCCAGGACCCTAATCCGAGTCCTAACTCATACTAAATATTAACAGTGCATGATAAAAGAAAATATTATATTAAAAGTTGTAAAGAACAACTTACAACTGAGAGCAGAGTCGGAGCCACTTTGGGACAAACGGAACAAAACTAAACTAAAATATTAAAATATAACTGAGAAAAGAGCGGAGAATGGAGTTCCGGGCCGTAAAGACCCGGAGAGGAGGTTGATTGGTGAATGGAGGGGCGAAACCCTTTTTTAATAGGAGAAAATCGGTCCAGGCCTCCGGCAGGCGTGGGCCTGAGGTCCAGGTGGGGGCATGTTCGAGGCCTGGGCTTTTCGGCCCGTTCGTCAGCAGGTACGTATGTCTAGGCGTGAGCCTGCGGTACAGGCAGGGGCCTGTCTGAGGCCTGAGCTGCTTTTCGGACCAAAACTTCATTTTTCACCATTTTCTTCAATTCTTTTTGCTTCAAGAGCCAATTCAATTCTTTCTTTACTTGTGATCTTTATCTTGAAACAATTTCCTTCAAGTTTGACCTCAATTTTCTTTATGCTATGCATTTTCCAAATTTCACCCTCTTTTGTACAACTTTTGACTCAACTTGAATTCTTTTTACAAAAATACATAACTTTTGTGCAATGCTACAACTATAAACAACAACTTATAAAAATAATTGAGAAATTGTCTTGATTGATCCAAAATTGGACAATAACACATTAAATACAGAGAAGATAAGTGCGTACAAAACGGACTTATCAGATCCTCGCTGGCGGAAAGCTATGGATGGTGAATATCATGCTCTTTGAAGGAATGAGACATGAATATTGGTTCCTCGGGGGCAACAACGACCTGTTGGATGCAAATGGGTTTTTCGTATAAAACGGCATGCAGATGGTTCTGTGGATCGCTTTAAGGCTCACCTCGTTGCTAAGGGGTACTTGCAAGAAGCCGGGCGTGATTACTTTGAGACTTTTAGTCCGGTTATGAAGCAAGTCACTGTTCATTTGGTACTCTATATTGCTCTTGCGAAGGGTTGGCCACTGAGCCAACTTTACATATATAATTCTTTTCTTCATGGCCAGTTGTCTGAACAGGTATTTATGGATCAACCTCCAGGCTATGTTCATCCAGACCATCCTACTCATGCGTGTCGCTTGTCTAAGGCCATCTATGGTCTAAAACAAGCGCCTCGCGCTTGGTATGACTCCTTGTCTAGTTTTCTCCTTGCCACCGGGTTCTGCAAATCACGGGCTGATTATTCTCTTTTTGTCTATGCCAAGGATCATGTTCTATGTAGACGATATTGTCATCGCTGGCAACTCTTCTGTGTTTTTAGTTTAGTTTGTTGATACTCTCCCGCGTCGGTTTTCACTGAAGGACTTGGGTCCTCTTAGTCATTTTTTGGGTGTTGAGGTTATTCCCACACGACAAGGGCTATTTCTTTCTCAAGCTTAGTATATTTTGAATATTTTGGAGTGTGGGGACATGGCAGCAGCTAAAGGTAATCTACACCGATGGTTAAACATGAGTTTTCTTCCTCTTGTTCTGCCGTGTCTGTCGAGGATGCCAAGGCGTATCGCCGTCTACTTGGGCGGTTACAATACCTCTCTCTAACCCGGCCTGATGACTCTTTTGCCGTGAATCGCCTCTCTCAGCATATGCACTCTCCTAATGTTTCTCACGGGGCTGCTCTAAAACGTCTTCTCTATTACTTGAAGACTACTTTGTTTCATGGTCTATTCCTTTTCCGGTTTGTCCTGCTCCAGCTTTCGGTCTTTTCCGATGCGGATTGGGGTGTGATTACTGATGGAGGCCGCTCTACCACAGGTTATTTCCTATGTCTTGGCTCAACTATTGTTTCTTGAAAGTATACTCAACAGAAATGTGTAGCTCGGTCCTCTACTGAAGCAGAATATCGTGCTCTTGCCAATGCTGTGGCTGAACTTGCTTGGGTGCAAAATTTGTTGTGTGAGCTTCAGGTTGGCCGCCTGCCTCCTCCGCATCTTTTTTGTGATAATCTCAGTGCAGTTTATGTGTGCAAGAATCCGGTCTTTCACTCTCGCATGAAGCATCTTGCTTTGGATTATTTTTTTGTTCGTGATCTTATTGCTGCCAGGCAATTGCATGTTTCTCACATTCCTTCCGCTGATCAGACTGCTGATATTCTCACAAAGCCTCTTCGGCATGCTCTCTTTCACAAGTTTCGGTCCAAGATCAGAGTTTCAAATGGCACCTCCGTCTTGCGGGGGCGTATTAAGGATAGTCCATAAGTATTATTGATTCCTCTTTGGCTTTGTTTGGTAACAGCGTTTTCGATTAGTGTTAGCGTTTTGGATAAAATTTTAATGGTACAGATTAATTCTGAAAACGCTAACGCTAAAGGCTACCGTCGGATAACTTTTTCAAAACGCTAACGCTAATCTCTGACGCTAATGTCAAACGGGGCCTTTGTATAGATTAATTCCTAACCATCATATGTTTATCCCTTGTATTTCTAATAATGAATTAATTAAGCTTCACCAATTCTATTATAAGTTAATAGTTAGTTAATACATTGTTGCTATCTAGAATTCCTTCCTATTTTTGATCGGTGGGTTATTTATTTTCTATCCTGGGCGTAAGAGTTTGATACTGTGTATGATTGATTCTTAGATTATTTATATTCAAACCCTTTATTTCGCTTCAAATTATAGGGGATTTTTTATGGTTGGATTTTTAAATTGTTTTTTAAATTCTTGATTTAGGAATTTCATTTGAAATTTGAAATAGAGTTAGATCCAGACCTTAACTTTATTTGCTTATGGGTTGATTTGTTTTTTAATTGTTGAAGAGAGATTTTTTTTAGTAATTGGGGCTTTGAAGTTATTTCTCTTCTTGATTTAAGGGTTTCAAATTTAGTTAAATAACTTAAATTCAAACTTCAATTCATATTTAATTTGCATGTGGGTTTCTTTTACTTTGTGATTGTTTTTGGAGAATGTATTTCATTTTTATTTCAATATCCTTGAAAATTTTACATGAATTTTGGTTAGTTCATTTGGTGACTAAACGTTTTTTTAAGTCTCTTCGAAGTTGTTGTTTTGAAAGTTGTATTCCTTTTTCGGTATATTTTCTTATGTTTTTCTCTCTCTGTAGTTGAATATGTATTGGTTTAGTAACCCTAAAACTATTAGAAGCTTGAACAAGATGAGAGGCCCTCTTCGAACTAATCTAAGGTGCTTGACTCTGCGATTATATATTTTTTCTTTCAGAATAGGGAACACTAGTTTTTATCCAGTGCTTTGCACGGGCTCGTATGTTCTTACGTAAAATATGTCTATAAAATTTAATTTTAATTTTGAAAATATGAAATAAAAAATAAGTAAATGAAATATGTATTAAAGTCGTTATGCTACACTATCAATATGTGAAATATGTAAATTTCATACACGTGTGTACACATAAAAGAATTATTTTTAACGATACCATAGCCTTTCCATTTTAGAGTTCTAGTAATATTTTTGGGATAAATATAAATGAACTCATTTAAACATTCTCTATAATTATGATGTTTTTATGCACATCAAGTGATCAAAATTTATAGTTTTGATTGCAAACACTTAGGTGTAGCTTTTTTTTTTGCGAGAGTTTGAAAAATTATATTTTTTACAAACTTGAGAATATTTTTTATACATTAATCTACTTATTTCGGAATAGTCACAAAATAAAATTTCAATGTGCGCACAATATAAAAATATCAATACATTTGATATAATTTAGGATATGTATGGACAACTAAATTGGGTAAGGGGGACTAATGGAACACGGCATCACTTGTTCAAGATGAAATAAATGAGACCGGATACCCGTCATATGATGTGTAGCGCCACTGTCAATCAACCAATCACAAGAAGAGAGAGACATACCATTATACGGATTTGAGGCGGAGGACTCGAGCATTGACATCAAGCGAGCCATTTGACCACTTAATGTGCTGTCGGAAGCCTCCTCTCCAACAGCATGTGCTGCTGCCTTCCCGCCACTGCTGAACCCAGCAGAACTGTCGCGGTTGGCTGGCGAATTGGCTGGGCGTCCACAACTGCCATGGCCTCTCCCAGAAGACCCACGACCACCTCGTCCAGCGCTGTTTCGTCCTCCACCTCCACGCCCATAACTAGCCGGAAACCAAATAATTTCGAAACAAGTTTCAACATTGTGATTGTTGCGGCCACAATGTGAGCAATGCGGACGACCAGAAGGTGGAGTGGTGATTGGCGGTTTTTCACAGCCAAATCCACAGCTTCAGTACGATCTGTAGAAAGGTTAATTTCATTGATCAAATATGTGGGAGTACATGTCTATATATATACATAAGAGTTCCTAATCCTATACAAGGTAGGAGTCAATAATAGGAAACAATATATTCCTAATCCTATACAAGGTAGGAGACAATAATAGGAAACAATATATTTACATTAAATATAGAATATATTTAACATGCTCCCGGCTACGTCGGATGAGGAGGGGTCTGATACCCAGACTGGACTTAAACTCGAGGAAGAGTAGAGAAGGTAGACCTTTGGTGAAGATGTCAGCATACTGTGAAGAGGAGGGCACGTGAAGGACTCGAATATGGCCGAGTGCTACTTTGTCTCGCACAAAGTGTATGTCGACTTCAACGTGCTTAGTGCGCTGGTGCTGAACTGGGTTCGATGAGAGATAGACGGCGCTGACGTTGTCGCAGAAGACAAGGGTGGCGCGTCGTAGTGGTTGCTGGAGCTCAAGAAGAAGATTTCGTACCCAAGAAGTCTCAGCAACTGCATTTGCCACAGCCCGGTATTCTGCCTCTGCACTGGAACGGGAAGTGGTGGCCTGGCGTTTTGAAGACCAGGAAATCAGGTTGTCACCCAGAAAAATACAGTACCCGGAAGTGGAGCGTCTGGTGTCGGGACAGCCAGCCCAATCAGCATCAGAATAAGCCTGGAGATAGTCTGTCGAGGAGCGAGTCAGGTAGATACCGTGAGTGGCAGTGCCACTAAGATAACGGAGAACTCTCTTCATGGCCGTGAGGTGAGAGTCGTGGGGCGCATGAAGGTGGAGGCAGAGCTGCTGAACGGCATAAGTGATGTCAGGTCTGGTGAATGTGAGATACTGTA